GGTGTATTCATTGACATCATTTGTAAGGGAATTCGTGAAGACATGTTGATGACAGTTGTCGGATATGTGTATGACTTATCAGGCAATGAATAGAAAAATGTCTCCTAGATTTTTTTTCTTCTTCTTCTTCTTCTTTTTCGTTAATGAGCTACAATTGATGATATTTTAAATGTTTGTCTCTTTTTCTCGTACGCGCATGTGTTGAGCAAAACAACAATTTCACACATACGCACATTTACGAGCCTTGTAATTATTTCGGTGACATCACTATGATCAGTTATCTTGAGAATGTATATGTGCGCGCATATAGATCAGATTGTTGTCAATCATTAATGTGAAAGATGGAAAATCAAAAGAAAGAGGATGGATTTGATTTACACATTCTTTGATCGTCATTCAATGATAGAATAGAGAGAGGAAAAGTCAAAAATTTAAATTTTATATGATAATTATCTTAATCGATTTAAGAATAAAAAACTTTCTTTTTTTTGATTAATTATAATCTTATTTCAAATGAATGAATTTAAATATTTCTGTAAATCGAATAGATAACAGTTAAGATATGATCAATATGTTCTTGATTCTAATCAACTTATGGTATTTATGTCAATCATATATGCAGGTGTCTCGAAATAAAATATGAATGTCATATTATTTCTTTATTCGTATAACAATACATTTATAATTGACATTCAATGATTTATAAGAGAGTATTTTTTCTTTGTCTTGTTTATTCACACACATGGTTTAGTATTTTTGTTATAAGTACGTTGATATAGACCAATTTATTGTTTATATTGATAATAATTCTAACCGAGATAATTGAGCTTGTAATTATGTATACAGTATGAGAACTAATGTTGTGTTTATCAATGCCTTTGATGAAGTATACATATGTTATATTATTATTCGTGGAATAGACTATAGTCATCTTTCCTTCTGTTGCTTCTTTTTTCTTCCGTTATTGTGTATCATATTTGTTGCTGAAAATATATTAAGTTAATCATCTATTCGCTGTTCGACATTGAGGTCAAAGATATATATATATATATATTATTTTTTCTTCCAATCAACCAGTCTAACTTTTATTATCTAGACGAGTTTAGATGATGAACAGCGTCTGTTCTATAATGTATTTTGCTAATGAAAACAATCACGTTCAACAAGTTTTTTTTCCTTACTTCTTTTGAGAAAAGAAATGCAGAAATAAGATAATAAATTATATGTTATTTCTATTAATGACGCTCCAAGGAAAAGAAAAATATGGTAGTAGAAAGAGTTTTTCTTATATTAATTTTCCTTATGTTAGTCTCACTGGAAGTAAGTAGTGTTTCTAATACTTCCATTTCTTCTGTAAGTATTAATAAATAATCATAACATTTACGTATGTAATTTGTGATGTCCATAGTAGTTACTGTTATTTGTATGAGAAAAAGAAAAGAAAATTGAATTACTCTGTTTATTTTCAGATACATATATATATACATATACATTCAGAAAAATGGCTACAACATTAGCATCATCGAAAGACGAAGGTCTGATAGAAAGTAAGTTTGATATCTTTTTAATATAAATTAAATAAAAATTTATTTTAAGCTCATACATATCCAATAACTACAACATCGGATATGAAACGTATGTTAAAATAATTCGATATTTTGATTTCTTATTATGTATTTATTTAGCAAATGATGATAGTGTCGATATATGTAGTTGGATTTTAATTGGTCTCTCGTATTTACTAATGATTATTACAATTCCTGTTTCATTAATTTTATGTATTAAGGTATGTTTTTAATTTGTATTGATTTATCGATGATCTATTTTTGTTAATAGGTTGTTCAAGAATATGAACGAGCAGTTATCCTTCGTTTAGGTCGGATTTTGTCAGGTACGAAACATGTAAATATGTGTTAAAATTTTATTAAATTTTCTTATTCAACAAAAAAAGAACAATTGAAATTCTTTTTTTAAGGTGGTGCTAAAGGACCTGGTCTATTTTGTATATTACCTTGTGTTGATACGATCGTTATAGTTGATTTGCGAACAACGACATTCAATGTTCCACCGCAAGAAGTAAGATTTATTTTCTATGATTACTTATTAATTACATTCGAATAATATATTCTTAGGTTTTAACACGTGATTCAGTTACGGCTTCTGTTGATGCAGTTGTTTATAGTCGAATTTTCAATCCAGTAAATAGAAGATAATTCTATATCGATTAATGATTAATTAATTTTAGGTTATTAGTGTAACAAAGGTTACAAATACTCAATATGCTACACAATTACTTGCACAAACAACATTACGTAATATACTTGGTACAAAAACACTTCAAGAAATTCTTTCTGATCGTGAAGCAATTGCACATAGTATGCAAATTCATCTTGATGAAGGAACTGGTCCATGGGGTGTTAAAGTTGAACGTGTTGAAATGTATATTCACTCTTACATTTTATTTTATAAGCATAAAAGTATGTTTTTGTGTTTAGTACGGATGTTCGTTTACCACAATCAATGCAACGATCAATGGCTGCTGAAGCTGAAGCAAGTCGTGAAGCGCGCGCAAAAGTTATTGCTGCCGAAGGTGAACAAAAAGCATCGAGACAATTGAAAGAAGCTGCTGATGTTATTGCTCAATCGCCTATCGCTTTACAACTTCGATATTTACAAACATTAACACAAATATCAGCAGAAAAAAATTCAACCATCATTTTTCCAGTTCCTAGTAAGTTCTATTGAAAGATTATTTTATAAACTAATTATCTAATATTTAGTTGAATTACTCAATCTCGTCAAACGTTAAATGTAATGAAATTATCGATTAACAAGACTTATGATGTTTTTTTTACTATCATTGTTATCCTTTCATTTAATAAACATTTCTATTAGAAAATCGTAGTTATAAATAACAAGAAAAAGTTCTTTTCTGTTTCTTTGAATTGTCAATGTATTCATCACCTCGATGTTGTCAACATCACGATGATATTCTGTAATTTCCATAAATGTAAAAGAAAAGATTCCATGGTGCTTTTTTTCTTCTCATGTAATTGATACTTGATATAAAAAAATCTACTCTAACATTACCTCTTCGTCAACGAAGAACAAGCTAAATAGAACTAAAATATAATTATCTATTCTCTGTATAATAAAAGAGTGTCAAAGCGTAAATACTTTTCTTTTTTTTCAACTTTGATACCACCGCATATGGCAACAACAGTGACATTTAAAGAAGAAGAAACTCATTCATTGAATAATGAAAGTTCGTTAAAAATTTGTCTGTTTTCTGTCAGCATAAAAAAATAATTTCCTTAGATCGTAGTCATCCAAATGAGATGACGAAAGCATCGAATACAGGATCAGGTATGTATAATATATTAGCTTTCAAATAAAATCATTGTTTTGCTATATTAGAAGATGATAATAATGATTTTGATACATGCGGTTGGATATTGATTGTTTTCTCATATATTCTTGTCGTAATTACATTTCCGTTGGCTGCATTTTATTGTATTAATGTGAGTGAGGAATAATAATGACTTCGATATTAAGTAATACTTTTATCTAATAGGTTGTTCAAGAATATCAACGAGCTGTTATTTTTCGTCTCGGAAGAATTTTACAAGGTATATCAAGATTTTAAAATTCAATCGAATCTTTTTTTTTCTGTTATTTAGGTGGCGCTAAAGGACCTGGTTTATTCTTTATTTTACCTTGTGTTGATACGATCGTTAAAGTTGATTTGCGAACAACGACATTCAATGTACCACCTCATGAAGTAGATAAAAAAAATTCTAATTATTTTTCTACATTATTTTCTTAGATTTTAACACGTGATTCTGTAACAGTTTCTGTTGATGCTGTTATTTATAGTCGTATTATTGACCCGGTAAATGTCATAAAAAAAACAATCATAAATAACAATTCTCTATAGGTTGCTAGTGTTACAAAAATAAATAATGTTTATGCTGCTACACAATTACTTGCACAAACAACATTACGTAACATACTTGGTACAAAAACACTTCATGATATTTTAACTGATCGTGAAATAATTGCGAATACTATGGAAACTCAACTTGACGAAGGAACTGGTCCATGGGGTGTGAAAGTCGAACGTGTTGAAATGTATATATCCATTATTATTTATTTCTAAAAGTATATTTTTGTGATTTTAAGTAAGGATGTTCGTTTGCCACAATCAATGCAACGATCAATGGCTACTGAAGCTGAAGCAAGTCGTGAGGCGCGCGCAAAAGTTATTGCTGCTGAAGGTGAACAAAAAGCATCAAGACAATTGAAAGAAGCTGCTGATGTGATAGCAACATCACCCATTGCTTTACAACTACGATATTTACAAACATTAACACAAATTTCAGCAGAAAAAAATTCAACCATCATTTTTCCAATACCTGGTAAGTTAATCTCATTCTTTTTTCTAATTGACTTTTATTTTTCGTAATATTTAGTTGAATTCTTCAATGCGATCAAACCGGGTCAATAGTCAATTATTCGCACGATGATAGAAAAAAATCTTCTCTTTAAATATTTTCTTTTATTATTGAAATTAAGAAAGATTTTTTTTTTATTACAAATATTTTTGTGAAAATAAATTAGTCTCTAAACATCAAAATGAATATTCTGCTGTTTTTTTTCTCACCACCGGTCATCTATTATTGTCTTCATATCAGTTTTTGTATTATTTTTTAATTGCTGAAGTGGATAAAAGTAAATATTCACTTGACATTGTACCACAACTTGATGTATCGGTTGTTATTTTCGATCGTAAATCTTGTGAAACAGTACTAGCTAATGTTGGACATAAACTATCCGCACTTAATGTTGAATGACATGTTTGCTGTTGCTGTTGTTTATTTATTGATATTGGTGATGAAATCGTTATTGTTGTAAGATTTTCACATGATGCTGTTAAATTTCGTTTAATATAAGCGGCCATGAACACACGTTGTTGCTCTTTGGTCAAGGATAAACATTTAAATGTCATTTTACTAGACTATAAAACAAAAATGTTTTTTATTGGAATTTTAATCCAGAAAAGAAAAGACGACAAAATTCTCTCACCTTAGATAAATGCTGACCTTTATTAGGACTAGTCTTTTGATAAAATAATTGTTCAAAAAGAAAAGGTCCTAAAAATGCATAGACAAAAAATAAATGTCCATATGCAAGGATATAATTATTATTCATATGAAATGTTAATAATGACCGTAATGGATTAAATAAATAGAAACAAATCCATATTATAGTAATACATAATGCAAGTAGACTTGTTAATAAATATATAAGATCATGACGATAATTATACAAATGATATCGTATACTTGATTGAAATGAAAAAAGAAATAATAAGAAAAAATTAAATGATAATGAACAAAGAAATAATGGTCGATAACATTCATCTGTACATTGATCATAACGATCTAAATAATTATGATAATTATAGAACCAAATAATAAGAACGCTTGTTTGAATTAAAATAGCTAGACAAAATAATAATATTGAACTTATTAATATAAGACAAGTTTTTTTATTTGAATCTTTTGCTATTTTAAATAACCATTGATGTGCAAAATCAATATTAAAACCAAGTAAAAGAAAGAACGGAAAGATTTGTAATGATAATGTTTGAATTGAACATACGAGGTTTATTGATGCTGATGGGCGAACAAGAAATGTAATTGGAGAAAGTAAGATGAAAAATAGTGATAATTGAGAGATAGAAATATATATCGTTGTTGATGAATGATGATTTCGGATATAAGTTATAATATAAGACCAATAAAGAATCATACCAATACTTATCAGACCAATAAGACCATATGATGGTAAATCACTTATAAAAATAAGTGATGAATATGAATTATTAACACACATTGTTAATAAAAGAATCGAAATAGATATCTGAAAAAAGATAGGATTGTATTTTTAATTTTTCATCTGTTAGTTAGAACCTATATATATATCAGTAAATATATACCTACTATCGATACAATTACTGAGCGTCATGATGATGATGAGACTCGTGTACTAATGATACTTGAAAATGGTTCAACTATTGGTATACATACATATTTGTTCTTTCCTTTTTTTTTTCTTTCTTTCTTTCTTTCGTTCTCATAGAGAACATATCTCTTTTGCCTTCGTCTCTCTCTCTCTTTCTCTCTGGTGTTGTACAGTCATCTACCATCATTATCGTTGTCGCTGTCTATAATGACGTCGCAAGCAGGAGACAATCGTAAAAAAGAAATCGAACATCTATATATATTTTAGTTTCACCTTCTCTTTCTCTCTCACTCCCTACATAGTTCACGTAACTTGATGCTGTGTTCTTTCTCTTTCTGCATTCTTTGAAAAAAAATTTTCGTTTGTTTTTTACTTAACAACATCTTATAGAAAAAAAAGAAAAGTAAAGCTGCTAGTATACTGAATTACTTTTGTCGTCATCTCAAATGATTAATATTCCTCCTCGTTTCTTTTTGTTTCTATTACAAAAGGCTTCACATGTATAAATCATCTTTTCACTGTTTATACATCTTTAATCTCTTACTTTTACCTCAATTGTCAATACAGATACTAAACGGAAATATTCAATAGTTATATGATAATGACCAATTGTATATATATATATATATATATATATATATTTCACTCAAGGACATTTACAAATGTGTCATAGTATGATCATCATCGGACGATAGCATATCAGGTCACTCTTTTCTTACCTTGATCATATAGGTGTAAAAAGAAAAGTTACAATGAAGGCGTGAAGAGTTGCTATGAGGAAGAAGAAGAAGAAGAAAAAAAGAAGAAGAAGTGTGAAGGTGATTTCTCTTGAGATATAAACTTTAATTATAAATATTTATTATAAGTATAAGAACACTTTTTGAAAACATAAGTGTTCTCAAAATTAATTGTTTAAAACTACATAAAAAGTTTACTTTTTTTTCTTGTTCAACTTGAATTTCTTTTACAAAATCTCATCTTGCATAATCATTTATTATTATTACGTACAATATAACTACAAGCAAATAGAGCTCGTTACTATTAATTTATTATATAACATAAATGAACCTTATTTAGATCTACTTAAAGGATTTTATTTTTCTCTTGT